TGTAAATTATTTCAGACATAATCACTTAATTTATAACAAATAATATAGTGTGTAATAAAAATTGCAGCTCAAAAAATGATATAAATAAGATTTATCAGGTTATTCTTACATCATGTAAAATGTTAGATATATAAAATACAATAAATACAATAGACTAGTTACTTATAAATAATTAATTTGACCCTACCTATTAAACAATTTCATTTGATGATAAAAAATTTGATCGTTTTAAGTATTCAAAGAGAAAACATCAACAAGAAAATATTGAGAAAACATTATAATTTTTAATTTCAAAATATGATAAATATCCTTTAGTTTTGGAACTATTTTTGTTTGAAAAAATACATGAAATGAGAGTCAACTTATAGAATTGGACAAACCTAGACTTGGATGAGAGTTAAGAAGAAAAAAAATATTTAACTTTGTTATAAAATTATGAAAAAAAAAATCAATAATTATCTAAAGATGCTTTTATCTTAATCACTAATTTGATTGATGGTTAATTGAAAGTTAATTTGGAGCCGTTTTATAAATTTGAAATGAGCTAGTCTTTAAAATAAAACTTAATTGACTAAATAATGGGATTTAAAATATTCAAGTACTTTGAAAATTCTAGAAATATATATAAATGTGTTAAAACAGATTTTTATAATAAATTGCTAATTGATCATGCAGTTCCAACCATAATTAATTATGTTTTCGATTATATCAAACTACAAATTCTGATCCTTATTAGTGAGTTAATTTGAAATGAAATATAAAAATTATATAATTTCATCAAATATATATTAAATAACATCTTTCAATTTCAACAAATTTAATGCTTCCTTTCTATTAATATCTTTTTTCCTGTACTCTTCTAATATTTATATCTTTATCTCCCTTTCCTTCAGAAATTATATCTCATCAATCAAGTCTTTAACAATTATACATCCATAGAGCTATTCTGAAAATACACTGCTCAGAATCTTGTAAATTTAAATTTTGATTATTATTAATATTTATGTTATTCAATTTTGAAATTAAATTTTATCAATTTACTGATCTCCATTAAATATATTCCATATGCCAACTTTTTCCCCATTATAATAGTTACCATGATAAATTAGAATCCCCTTTCCTATTTTTTTACCACTTTCATTATAAGATCCACCACCACTATATATTAATATTATTTTTTTATATTACAGTAATTAATGATTTTTCTTCTGATCATTCCAATATGAATTCTCCATAAAATACTTAATAGATCATCTAATATATATCAAATAAATCAATCCACTTTCCAATCTTATTACCTTATTCATCATAGCATCCCTGTCAATTTAAAAGCCTATAAAATATAACAAAAGACCCTTATAAGACAATATCACAATTTAATCTTTAAAATGTTGTCTAAATTTATCAACATTATAAGAAAGACCTTATTTAGCATACACCTAAAATTATTCATAATTTGTTAGTACATCTCGCTAGTATTGAAGGTAAATTCATCAGATGTGGATCAAATTCTCTTAACCTACTAGCTGACTTGACTAATCAAAGCTTCGAAAACATAAGGATCAAGGATACTTATTGATAGGAGGGAATTTTTTTGGATGCAACTTTAATGGGTCTGAATTTGACAGTATAGACATAAGTGGATTGAATTTGAATGGATGTTTGTTAATAAATTGCAAGTAGAAGAATATCAAGATACATGAACTTAACGAATTAGAAGGTCATGAGGCATTTGTTAATTAAGTGTGTTTTTCTCCTGATGGGGCAACCATCTTGTAGTGGAAATTTTTTAGGTCTTCAAGCGATAATTCTATGGTTATTCATATCCAGTCATGTCAGTCTGTTTCTCTCCTGATGGTAATACTATATAAGTTTATGGGATCTTAAAAAAGGATAATAAAAAATCAGTTTGTACAGTCAACATCATTGTTCTTGTTTCAACTCCGTCTGTTTCTCTACTACCCTTGCATCAGGTAGTTTGATAAATCTATACGTTTATGGGATTTTAAAACAGGAATAAGAAAATCATTTTAATAGGTCAAGTGTAAACTCCATATTCTGGTGGATGATATTTTTTGTATATTCACTTCAGGATACCATAATCTTAGATTTCTGATTTCAATTTATCATTGTAATATTTAAAATCATTTATGATATTTTTAAAATAAATATTTCAAAATTCTCAAATCCTAAACTGATGATTCATAAGACACTATCATTGCCTCAAAATATATGCAATATTTAAAATTATATTAAAATAAAACCCATTATTATACTCTGAGATGCCAAGAGCTATATGAATGAGGTATGAATGCTACTATATTTATATCCTCTATTTTTATGAAATTTTATTACATTTTTTCCAAATAAATGAAATAAAAGTAGTTATCTGTATATTTAGAAATTAATTTGCAAGCTTTTTAGTTCATTTTCCCATTTAAGATATTATTTTTATTAATCCATACATTGATTTTATAAAAGTAAACTTTTTTTATTTCCCAATATAATAACATAATATCCAAACTAGTTCACATATATTATTTAGAAATACTTTGAATATTCAAATGTTTTAAAATAAATTATTCAGAATATAAAAAAGGTTTAATAAAATTTCACTTGTTATATCTGTATTAAAGCTCATTAAAGTAGGCATTCTGAGAATATTTTTCTCAATTTATATAGCCAGAAAAACTTAAAAAAATAGATTAATATAATTAGAAAATTTTTTTTATTAATGTTAGGATTGAAATATTACACTTACTAATACTATTCTTATTAAGACCTGGAAGAGTTAAAGAGTGTACTTAAATATGATTCAATAGGGGAAATAAAATTTTATGATGATGAGAAAATTATTGAATATAAGATAAATAGAGAAAGATGTCTTCTATTAGGTGATTTAATAGAATTAATAGTAATTTTTTATATTAGATAATTTAGAAAATTGGATTTATTAGATTTCATTTAGGATAACTCCTATTGCTCTTTATTTAATTGTTAGAGAAAGTGAAGAACATGGAAAGTCACAAAATAGAACATAAATATTTAAGTTTAGATCGTATTTGGTTGAAATTCAACAATAATCAATATCTCACTATTATATATAAAAGAATTGAATATGAAATTGCTTTCACTGGATATAATAATAAATTTGAGGAAGACTTAGATACCTCTATACGTTTATGGGATTTTAAAATAGGATAATAAAAAGCATATTAAATGGGCATACATCAGTAGTCACTTCAATTTATTTCTCTAGTGATTGTGCTACAGAAGCATCAGGTAGTGAAGATAAGTCTATACGTTTATGGGATCTTAAAACAGGATAATAAAAAACCAAATTAGATGGTCATTCAAAAACAGTCATGTCAGTTTGCTTCTCACCTGATGGTGCTACATTAGCTTCTAGCAGTTGCGATTATTCCATTCGATTGTGGGATACGAAATCAGGAAAATCAATTGAACCAGCAGATAAGCGTTACAAAGATTTACGAGCACAATTTAACACTCCATTATCCTAAAATAATCTTCTTCAATGTGATATTCATTCATTTATTATTTTTAAGCCAACCCCTTCAAAAATCTTCTGACAAGCATATAGGTTATGGAGCAGCAATTGCAAGTTCTTTAGGTGAGATAACACTTTTTTTATTTTATTAAGAACTTTCCTATAGCTGATTATGAAATATTTAATCCTTTCATCTATTTGATAGAGCATATCCAAGATGAAGAGTATAAGAAACTTATATGTATCCGAAAACTTTGAAGACTTTATGTACAATTTAATTATTTTGTAAAAGTCTAAAAAAAACCTTTTGGTTATAATACGATTGTATAGAGAAAGAATTAAAAGCTATTAAAAGGATTAAATTTCATCTAAATAGTCAATGAATTTATTAATATTCAAATAATATATCTGTTTACATTGAAATAGTATTCTTTTACTATTTAAAATATTCTCTAATCAAACTCAATTTAGACATTATTCATAAAAAATTGAATAAAGTTAATATCTATTATTTAAATAAAAAAATTATTATGATATCAATTATGCTTGATTTATATAGGGTTTATTAAGTATTTCAAAATTGATTCTTTCAGGATCGTATGAATTTATTATTAAAGAAAACTTGCCATCAGCTTGTTTATAATGCTTACTTTATTAACCCTTAAGATACTATTTTTTTTAATAATGAAAATTAAAATATACTCTCCAATAGTAATATTTTTAGTTGTTCTTAATTCTTATTAGCAAATGATAATTACGTATTTCTCTAAAGAATATCAAAATCATCTAAAAAAGTAAAAATGAACCAATA